CTGAATTTTATCTATATTATATTTATATTTTATTTATGTTGTAAACATATTTAGCAAAAAACATAGTTTCTGTAAAGATTCTACAGCTTCCAAAACGTTAAGAATAGTTTCATTGGGTATTCTCAATAATTGCAACTTCTCTTTCATATCATTTTCATCTTTATAAGGTCGATTTTTGATAATTTTCTCTGCATATTTTAAACCTACACCAACAATATGTTTCAAAGGATTTACATTTATGATAGTGTTGATGTTAATTTTGTTTGCTTAAATAAAAAATTTTAACAATTAGTAAAATAAATGCATTATATATCAATGAAATAATATAAAAAATATTTACTCATCATAAATTGCAAGCGGGTTGCAAATATTCCAAATAACCAGTGAAAAGATGACTTGTCTGTAAGTATGATATTATCAGGTATCTCAACATTCTTTTTGGTTTCAGCTGTCGTACAGATCCACAAAAACTATGGATGATCTTTTGAAATATAGTTACGAAGAGCATGATTCGTTTTTGCATATTCCTCATTAATGATATCTTGAGTTAATTTGCCATTAAGAAAATACTTATATTGTCCACAACGAATGATCCATGGACTATGATTAGATATGGGCCATATGTCAAACGAATCAAAAGGTGCACCTTCTGTATTTCTAATTATCATGTTACCATTATACAAATTTAAATTTTGTCCTTGATTATCTTTGACGTCGAATGTAAAAGCTTCATCTGGAAATTTGACTAAAGAAGTTTTTACATGCACTGAATCAGAGAGATAGAATTGCAAATTTCATACACACTTTCCAAGTCTAGCACTTCTATAAAATTCGTTTAGCATAATGGTTGCTGGTTGGCAATTGAATTTAGACAGAGGTAATAGTAAAGTTCTTCTAAACACACCTAAATTTACAAAAGTAAGAAAGATAAAAGAGACGTAACATTTAGCGTGAATATTGTATTTGTTAACTGAAACCCAATCTATATAGAATAATTAAAGTTCAAAAATTTAAGCTTTAAATTTAATGTTAATTACAACATGCAAGTCAAAATTTTTTTATTAACAAAATATATTCTTAAAATTTAAATAAGTTTCGGTTAATAAGTATATATACCTGTAAATGACAACAACACAACTCTAAATTTCCCCAGTAAAAATCAATAATTTCACCATCTACACTAACATCATGTGAAAATAGCCATGATAAATTTTTGAGGCTTTTATCTGGTTCACAACAAGAAACTAGTTGTTCTGCATACATGTAAGGCATAATAACCTTGTAATAATCATCTTCATTTCTTAATGGGTGCAGTATTAGAATACCTTGAGATTCCAAGTACTCCCATGTATAGTTAGTATTGTCAATAGTACATACGGTGTCTATACGACTAACATGAGATTGCAACATAATGGCAACTAAAATTTCTTTTGCAAGTAATGATGGAATTGCACTCATGTTGATTTTCTGGCGAGCACACCTAGCTGCTTGTACGTAATCAATATCTGATAGTGATATACCTTTAGATATGCTAAGTGAAATATACTCTAAGAATGCTTCAATCCCACGTGGTAATATGATATCATAAGCAATGGCTCGTAAAAGAAGGGAATTTAGCCACCAACTACTTGTTAATTGTAACTGTTCAAAGAGCGAATTTATATCGACTGGTAGTAAAAGAGGGGTGGGCAAAGTTAAATGCCGATATGAAGAACTAGTTATTGCATCTAACAATAGTGTAAGTACAGTTCCTGCAAGGTGGCAAATTATAAAAATGTTGCTAACGTTAAATTTACAACCCATTGCACTACCAAGAGCTAAAGTCACTTCTTTAAGATACTGTCTTTTCTCTTGATCATTATCGCCTTTACAAAATGGAGATCCAACTAACTTTTAAAATTCATCAAGTGCTATATATATAAGCAGTGGACGGGACACATCTTCTCCACAAATACTTGTAGCAATAGTATTGATAGCTATTGAGATATTTAATTTTTGCTTTAAAGGATCCTCTCCAAATTCATAAATCATTCGGTCAATGAAATCATCAAGGGATGACAGCAGAGCAAAATAATGGTGAAGAATTCTTAAACCGATTGCAGAATTTGCACCTAAAGTTTTTTCAATGTTTTGAGGATAAAGATCATCGTTATACGTCATCAAGATCTGTACAGGATCATCCAGTAAATGGGCTAGCTTTTGTGTTTCGTTTGATATTTCAAAGTCTGGAAAACAGCTACGTATCATCGGTATTGTCTCGATAAGATTGCGTGTTTTTCCAGTTCCGGGCGCGCCAGCTAAGTAATAATAATCTTTTAGTTCGTATATACAAATATAATAATATAACAATAAAGTAATTAATTGCTCACCTGAAATAAATATCAGACGTTCATTCCGATCTTTGCCTTTACAGGCACCTTTAAACCGAGAGATAAAACTTTCTGTGAGGCATGTCGCAGTAGTTGTCCTTCCTATTATAAAAATTAATGAGAGAAGTTGCCCATTTCCCTTACTTGAATACAAACATACTTACCAACAAATGGAAAATTATGGCCAAATGTGGTGATCAACTATTGGCAAATAAAAAATTATTTACTATAATTATGCACTGATTCTCTGAACTTTAGTACAATAGAATATGCTTACCGGAATAGCTGGTGACTTTTCGAAATTAACTTGAAGGAATTTCAAATTTTGCTCTTTTGTCACTCTAAAATGGAATAAAAAATAAGTTAATAAATGGAACAAAGTAATTTCGAAGATTAACTTAATGGCTCTGAAGAACTGATTTGATGAGAAAAAAATTTGCCTTTTTTGTTTTGCTGCAAAAAGAAACAATTTATTAGATCAAAAATAATATTTTGCTTAAAAGTAAACATCAAGAGATATTACCAGTTGGGGATAGCTGCACGATTATATTTATATTTTCACTTGTTGGTTCCAGGCTCTCATAATGTTCTGATTCATTAAAATATTTTCCAACACTTTCGAATGGAGACATTTCACTGCCTCCTTTGATGTTCTCGGCTTTTATTGTAGTTCCCAGGTCTTTACCTCTTATTGGGATATCTACATGCCATAAAATTAAGTTTTCTTCTTCAATATTGGCAAACCGATTTTTGTCTTTAATTAAAAGCCTCCGAATTTTAGAGACTCCCATATCTCTATTAATGTTAATTAGAAAAGCTCGTCTAATAGGATCGCCTGAAACAAGGCAAAATATCATCATGTTGGCGTGTCTGCAATCATGAGAAATTGGCATTAAATTTGGGTAAACCGTCAAAGTTTTTAAATTAACGACTTACTAATTACTTTTTTTTTAAAAAAAAAAAGCTGGTGTCGGAGGCTATATGGGCGACAACACAAACCAAACAATCACCCAAAACCACACACAAACCCAACCCACACCTTTCGATATACTCGATTGGTAGAGGCGGTACGATTTGGCAAGGTAAGGCTAAAATCGGGTATATTGTGGGTTTTTAGACTATCGATTTTTATTTATTCAAGCACGTTCTCCGTTGTTCTTTATTAGAGGGCGAAAAGAGCCCATATTTATAACAATTTACATGCGGGGTGGGGAACAAAAGAAAAAAAAAAAACTTTTCAAACTAAGCCTAAGCCCCAACACGCCACTCCACGCCATGCCGTGCCAGCAGAGCTTTGCCTCCTCCGGCTAAGCTTTTGGCACTGCCCCAAGCCAGAATCGGTTCTATCCCGATTCTTCTTTTCCTTGTGGCTTTTTGCCACCATTTCGCCACATTTTAGCCGTGATCACAGCCACCATTTCCTGGGGCTTTCAGCTCGGGTCTTCGTCACATTTTTGGGCCTCGTGACATCGATTTTGGACGCGGCGGTTTTGGCAATTTCGCCTCTGACAGTACTTACTTATATACTGAAATAGAATACTGTATGTTGTGAAACGTTGCAAAAATCCATATGTATGACCATCGATATTTTATTAAACTCGCATTCATGTGATTGGCTAATTTATAGATGACTAGTGCTAACAATCATTCTATTGATTCTATTGATAAACTTTATAGTCGATTTATTGACACCTAACGCTAAATTTCATATGTAAATTTGTGTCAAAAAAGCATTTATTTAATTGAAAGGAACCGCGATGCTATGCTTGAGTCAAAACATTGCTATTATAAAAGTCACTTGAATATTTAAGGACAACATAAATTAATTTATTATTCGACGCTATTGATTCCAGAAAATCATGTGAACGGAAAATCTGTCAACTTCAACTATGTTCTTTATAAAGTTCTATAAAGTGACTAAATAACCTTTAAAATATTGTCTTTATAAAAAGTTAATACATTTTAAAGACGATTATTATTATTATTATGTCTACTAGCGTCATATTAGAATACCAATAGCCGTCGATTCTTTTTACAGGTAATCAAATTTGAAATTTGTTATTTAGAAGTTTGAACATTTTTTAATGGAGGATCCCAAATTTTTGGGTAGGAATGCATTGGAGCTAGACCGGCATTAGCAAAAGCTGTTATAGCAAAACTATCACTGGCATTTTTAAATGATTATGACTTTATTAGTAAAACCTTTAGTGGTCTTGGACGATATTAATAAATTCCGGCCTAGCCGACAGAGTTATGATGCATTCTGACCCGGAATTTTGAACGAGTCCACAGGACCTAAATTTAGCCAATCAAATTGATTATGAGTATTCGACATTTTTTTGCCAATCATAGTACAGTGCGGACAACAAAAAACATCCAACTTTTTTTAAAGGCGCCAAATTTGAAAATTTATAATGATTCTGATTGGCTAATTTTTGTGTAACAAAAATTTGATTGGTTAAAATATATAAAAATGATTTTTTTTTTATATAATAAGCGCCAAATTTTGGTTTTTATATGTAAATTTATAAATTTTAAACTCTAAAAACCTTTTAAATTTATAATAAAAATAAAAATCTGTCTTACAGCAGCAACAAATATTTAAGACAGATTTTTTTTAAAGTTACTTGTTCAAAAGTTATAAGAATTTTTATATTTTTATATAAAAAAGTGGATGGTTTTTGCTGTCCTGTACTGTAGTATAAGGAACCGATTATAGAAGGGACAAATACACGAAGTTTAATACTTTCGTTAAATTTATTGATGTAGATAATTTAATTTTAATGTATAACTTAATTAAAGTCACAGATTACACCAAGTGGATAATCGGGTAGCACATTAAAATTCATATTTCTTAAATTATCGACTTCAATAAAAGTATTACATATACATTTCATTGAATGGTTGTATTTTGTCTTTATAAGGTATAATTGTGATTTTTTTAATTTTTGCTCCGCACGTACATACACACTAGGGTGATAACTCAACTAAATAAATAAAAACTATGTGCGCAAACCATGGAATTTGATATATTACTGTATTACAGATTTTTCAAATATCAATTTAATCATTGCCATATTGCATATCGATATCAATTTAACGTTAATTAATGCTATATTGCACTCTTATATTAGGTTTTTGTTTAGAGATTGTCATCTTTACAAATTATTATATTTATTAAAATTAATTACTTAAAAATGACACAATTTATTGAAACCCCAAAGAATTACTTCGAAATTTTCACAAATAACTTAATAAATGTTGGAGAATAAAGTTATGCTTTCGGATTTCTATTAACATATGAATTTGAACATACATCTTATAAATGATTTAAATTTCATTAGAAAAAGTGAAAAAAAATTAGAATTTAAAATATACAAGTTGAAATTTTACTAAAATTTTTGCAAAAAATCGAGCATAACTTCTTAGATTTCAATTAAAGAAATTAGAAAAATAAATACAGTATCAAGGTGAGTTCTTTAGAATTTTGTGCGTTACTTATTATCACTATTTGCAAATTGATGTGACTTTTGATAAAAATTAGTAGATCATTCAGGTTGACAGCAAGGTCAACGGATCGAAAAGGGAGCTAAGCAAGGAGGCCGGCGCACTGTCAATCACAGTATAATCAAAGGCCGGCAAGAAAAAACTAGTACAATCAGTGTCTAATTTGAGGATGGCGTAGGCAAAGATGAGTAATTTAAATTAACTGCCTAATTGGAACATTTCATATGAAAATTGATTAACGGGAATTTCGCTGTAGATATATAAAATGTACTAACGGGAAGATGGATGACAGCAACTCCAGAAACGGGATGAAATTCGCAAGATAAGCAAGAAAGGCACTCATAACACAGTAATCACAAGGAACGATAGCTCAGCCTCAAACGAATCTTCAGAAACCATTGCGACATCACCCAGCCAAAATCAAGAAATGGGGACCCCCATAGCAAAACAGACCAATGGGCAAAAAATTTTGTTTTTGTAATTTTATAAAAATTGCATTTCTAATACTTCAATTCTTCGAGAAATTGAGTTTT